CAGTACTGTACATGTTCCAAAGAGACACTTCACTCCTTGTCTGCCTGTTAAAGGTGAAGTATTGCTGCCATCATTCTGTATTTATTCAGTATCCCCTCTGTACAGTGCTAAACAGAATGCCAGACTCTTGATGGAGCCCTCTATTTCTATAGAGAGTTAATGTCAGTGCAGCCTCAACTGATCTGTTTTCCATACCGTATTTGCAAGTAGGACAATTCTGGAGCTTGTCCTTAAGTAATTTTCCTTTTAAATCATTGTGTGTATGTGTGTGTGTGTGTGTGTGTGTGTGTGTGTGTGTGTGTGTGTGAAAACACAAACAAGCAACTCATATGGATGTGAAAGGAAGAGAATTCTCTTGTGTGGGAGTCCTTAATTAAAGTGTGTAGTGTGAACCATCTTGGGTGTCTTGCCTTTTGGGGCACTAAAGCTCAGAGCTGTTATTTCAACCCCCACCTCACCCCTTCCGTTTGCTTCTTCGTCCTCGTCCTCTTCCTCTTCTTCTTCTTTTTTCAATCATGTTGCCCTGTTGCTCTCCTAAGCACCTTGTCCCTTTTCTTTTTCTTCTTGGTGACTTTGCCTCATCATCTTAGGTAAGTCAATTTCTGTTGAGTGACATACACCACTGAGTGGATAATGAGAAAGGCAGATACACTGTTGGGAAAGGGGCTGAATCTCTTGATTGCTCTCCTTTCAGAAAGCTCTTAGAACCTTGGAACCTAGGGCACCTTTTGTGTCACATGAGGTATATTTGTCAATCACAACCTGGGTCTGCACCAACAGAAGAAACAAGGACCATCACGTGAAGGTCTTGTCAAAGTGTAAGAGTTTAATAGCTCTTCTTCCAAAGGGCCTAAACTGTCCATTTTTTGCCTGCCTTTGTTCATTCTGTTGTTTTGGATGGCCTATTCCTGGGGAGTTACATTTCCATGAATCACTATGTTTAGTACCATGACTTTCCTTGTGGCATGCTCTTTTCCTAGAAACTCATTTCTATCATCATCCTTTGTTGTCTCTATTGGGCACAGTGTCATGACTTCAAAGTTTATGACCATAGTGTGGGCTCTATAGTTTCTTTTATGAAAAAGGGTCATCCTTTTTTCAATCGTTTCTCCTCATTTACCGAGCACTCTTAAGACAATGGACAATGATGAGGAAAGGCCAATCCCAGATGTTTCAAAGCAAAGAATAAAAGAGTACAATGTCATGACAATTAAAATTTGTTATCATGTTGAGCTGGGGATGGAACTGAGTTGAGGGCACATATCCAGCATTCTCGGGGTGCACATCCCCTGCCAGCATCACAAAAATTAAAAACAAAAACTGAACCAAGACTTTTTAATCATTTCTAGAACTCACAAACTAGCCATCTGGTGTTTGCCAGACACAGAATAAAGTTACACTGAACAACATCTGTGATTCCTATAAGGTCTTCTATATCACCTTTTGGGAGGCCAACAAGTCAATCACTACTGTATATGGACTGCACTGGGACGTGCTATGAAGGCAGCATCTGTGGCTACAATCCTGCCACCAATTAAAATGCTGGATTCAGTCCAAGAAGAACTTGTTTGACACCTTTGAGCAACTGTGTTTTTTTCCTTGTGTTTATTCCCTACCTGAACTCTGTCAAAACTACTTCAGAATCTAGATCAACATTTCCCCGTAATCTAAAGAAATTGGCATGTTACCATCAAATGCATATCAGTGAAGCCCATCCCCTTCCTACCAAAGACACATCTAGTGCATTGTCGGGTCTCTGCCATGCGTGCCTCACACTTACTGCAAACACACGAGACTGCCATGGTTCCATTTTAACTAGAAGCACTTGCTTTCACAAGTGTTAAGTCAAAGTGTTAAGTAGAAGTTGACATGCCTGTGACTCATTTTAAAATAGCAAATTATAATCAGCTGACACTGTATGAAGCATGAAACTCAATCTATAAATCACATGTCTATAGAAAGATGGAGCTGGAAAAATGTGAGGAACAAAACTGAAACATGTCTCCATCATAAATTATAATTACCAGTTTGTCATCAACTGTTGGAAGGATTTCTAACTATGCTCCTGATATTAAGGTTTCTATTAAACAATATTCAACTAGTCCTAAAATCAAATCACCAAAATAAATTTTAAGAGATTTATTGAGTGTTGTGTGTGTGTGTGTGTGTGTGTGTGTGTGTGTGTGTGTGTGTGTGTGTGTGTGTATTGTAGAGGGCACAGAGGATAAGGGGGCATCTTGGGATGTACTGAACTGGAGTTATGGGAGGCTATGAACCACATAATATGAGTGATGTGATCCAACTCTGGAAAAGCAGCAAGTTCTCTTAATATCTGAGCCATTTCTCCAGCCTCCCGACCCCCAGTAACATTTTTAATGTTTAAATAACTATTGCATTTGGATAATAAAATTTAGCAACTATGTTTACTTTTAGTTTTTTTGAAACATAATTTCTTGCATATAAAAATGGTATAAAGAACACCCTTGGCCAGGCATTAGTGGTGCATACCTTTAGTCCCAGCACTTGGGAGGCAGAGGCAGGTGAATCTCTGTGATTTTGAGGTCAGCCTAGTCTACAGAGCTAGTTCCAGGACAGGTTCCAAAGCAATACAGAGAAATCCTGTCTCAAAAAACCAAAGGGGGGGAGCCAAAATAAAGTCCCCCCCCAAAAAAAAACACCCTTGAAGAAAAGCAAGCCTTGTTTCCTTACTGTCCACATGGTTAGCAGCACTTGGTCACAGACTCTAGATTTAGAGTAATAGTTCTCTAGTAATAATCATGGATCCTAAAATGTTCTTTTTCACTGGAACAATTGTTCCTTGCCCAAGTTCTTTGCTTTTCTTTTATGTGGTATTTGATACCAGATACCACAGTTCTTTGGACATATGCCATTATTTTTCTAGTTTGAGATTTGGCTTCCTAACCTAAAGGTCAAACTCTGGTGTAGAGAAGTCTCTACATCACTTCTCCTTTGCTCACAGATGAACTCCAAAGAGTTTCAAGTCCAACATTCCTTTGATTATACTTGGTCCCTATCTATCTCTAGAAAAAAAAGACAAAACTGAAATTTAAGACACAACATCTTTTCAGACAGATAAAACAATCCCAACTGACTGTGGTTTTCAAAATTAATGCAACATATTAGCAGTTCTCAATCAGTCAAGCTCTCAAATTCAGGGAACCAAATGAGATCTATACTAAGCAGCATAAAAAATGCAAAAGAAAAAGAACCATGACAAGGCACCAGGAACTAAATAACTTAACATGTAATAATAACAACTTATGCTGGAGAGGATGTGGAGAAAGGGGAGCACTCATCCACTGCTGGTGGGAGTGCAAACTTGTACAGCCATTTTGGAGATCAGTATGGCAGTTCCTCAAGAAAATGGGAATCAGTCTACCACAGGACCTAGCAAAACCACTTTTAGGCATATACCCAAATGATCCACATCCATGCAACAGACATCTGTTCAACTATGTTTGTAGCAGCATTATTTGTAATAGCAAGAACCTGGAAGCAACCTAGATGCCCCTCAACTGAAGAATGGATAAAGAAGATGTGGCACATTTACACAATGGAATACTACTCTGCGGAAAAACAATGGAATCTTGAAATAGGGAGGCAAGTGGATGGCACTTGAAGAAACCATCTTGAATGTGGTAAGCCAGTCACAAAAAGAGGAACATGGTATGTACTCGCTCATATATGGATTTTAGACCTAGAGCAAAGGATCGCTAGCCTATAGTTCACACCGCCACAAAAACTACGATACAAGGAGGAACCTAAAAGATTCATACAAGGTCCCTAACAGAAGGGGTAAGGAACAAGATCTCCTGAGCATCTTGGGGGAGGGGGGCAGTGAGTGGACAGGTAGCTAGGAGAAAGAAGGGGAAAGAAGGAAAGCACATGGAACTAGGAAAATTGACTCAGGTGAGGGATAGACGAGAAAAGACAAAGAGAGGAGAGGGGGGGGAGGGAGAGAGAGAGAGAGAGAGAGAGAGAGAGAGAGAGAGAGAGAGAGAGAGACCATAAAAGAGGGAGCCATTATAGGTTTGAAGGGAAAACTGACTCTAGAGAAATGTCCAGAGACCCAAAAGACTGACCCCAACTAACAATTTGAGCAACAGTGGAAAGGCTACCATAAATGCCCTTCCCTAATAATGAAGTTGATGACTAACTTATCCACCATCACAGAGCTCTCATGTAGTACCTGATGGAAATAGAAGCAGACACCCACAGCTAAATATTGAGTTGAACTGGAATCCAGATGCTGAGAGGGAGGACAAGACCAGGCTACAGAAACCCACAAGAAAGAGCCAAAGGGCCCCCAGACCAATAGCTGGGAAACCAGCATTGGACTGACTCAGACCCCCTGAACATGGGTCTCAGTTAGAAGGCCTGGGCAGTCTAACGGACTTCTGACAATGGAATCAGGATGTATCCCTGGTAAAAAAAGAAATATTGATGTGGATACAGAGGACTGAAGAGATGGCACAGCAGCTAAAGCATGTGATGCTACTGTGGAGGATGCATATGGATGCAAATAACCAAGTGCAGTGGTTCACAGCCACTGTAAGTCTAGCTCCAGGAGTGCAGCATCCTGTTCTGCTCCCCTGGGGTACCCTCACACAAGTGGCATACACATATGCAGACATACACAAAGATACCAAAGTAAAAATAAAATGCCAAGTGTGGTGGCCCAAACTTTTAGTGCCAGCACTAGGGCAGAGGGCAGGCAGATCTCTAAGTTAGAAACTAACCTGGTCTACATAGAGGGTTGATATATAGTGAAATTAATTAATTAATTAATCAAATATTAAGGAAGAGTAAACACAATAGAATGAAAGAAGAGCTTTGCAAGTCTCATTCTCTCTTGGGAATGTGTGACCATAGACACATGGAAATATGTTCTAAAGGAAGCTTGAATGATGATCCTAAGGAGGCCACATGGTCTGTGCTAGGGACATCTGTGTCAACATGTCAGTGTGGTCTTTTCTTACCTCCAGATGCTCTAAAATATATGGCGGATTTGTCATGCCCAGCCTCAGCATGGCTCCCTCAGGAATCACTTCCACCAACTTCCATAGGAGTGTGGGGAGATCTGTGCCAATGTCTCTGCCATAGGCTCCAGTGTCTTCGCTGGTCAGCCATATCTCACAGACACCCTCTGTGAATTAAAGAGGATAATTAACAAATCTTTGGCTATTTCCTTAACCATGCAGCTGCTCATCCTTTTAATGCAGTACTTTCAATACCATTCTGCAGGCATTCTGGGCATTCAATGGCAGAGAGAACAGTTTATCCTCCCTTGGCAGTGGATATTAAGTTCATTTTATGAACACTTGAGAGTTGCAACACATTACCATTGTGTCCTATGAAGTCATTAACATTCACAGCCAATCAGCTCAAGTATGCTTCTCCAAAGCACTTTGATGAACCCTAGAACATCAGTCCCACCTCAGTGAATACCGAGTGAACACCATGGGTCCTGGAATGGAGACAGTCCCTCCACAGAATAGGAACTGGCAACAGTTAACTCACTAGTTCATCTGTCACCAACCCAAGGAAAAATGTCAAGTATAGTTAAGGATTATTCACAAATTATTAATTAATTATAATGAACCAATTTTGCCTGCAATAACTATTTTAATCTGTCTCCTTTATTTAACTTAAAAAAAAAAGTTGGCTGGTGCATAAACTAAGTGGCTGCCTTGTAAGCAAACCCTTCTACATTCACTCACATATTACATCCTAGGAACAATTATTCTTTTTTTGGTGCTATAAGAAATCTGTTCTTCAAATGCTATGGCTTGAGTTGGGATATGCAGCTCTCGGGGAGCTGAGACAGGAGGACTGCTCCAAGTACAAGACAAACCTAGGCTTCAAAGTTCCAGGGTAGTCTGGATTAGAAAATAAGTTCCTGTCTTAGAAAGTAACACCAAATAAATAAAAAGTTACAGCTTGATATAGCAGCCTTTCAAGAACTAAGAGAAAATACTTTCAGGTCAACAAGTTGCAATTAAAAATAAATGGAAGAGAATGAGCAAGAGCCACACAGGTTTTCCTGGATAAGCTGTTATTAAAAGGGCAAATTAGTGAAAAGGCTGAAACAAACAAAGTATGAAGTTAGTTCAGGCTCAGCTGATTCCCTGCTTATGAAGAGCTCCACATACAGAGGCATAAACATGTTATCCAAAGGGAAACATGGTGGAAGTTTCCAAAAATTGTCTTAAAATTGCCATGTCATTGGCAGAAGGTTCCCAATGCACAACTTAAATTTTAATAGCCAAGAGAGGGGAGGAAAGAAAACTGTACAAAAGAAAGCCTTAACCATCAGTAATGCAGTCCACAGCTTGGACCTAATGTCTCTGGACACTAGTTTTTCTAAGATAAGAGCTACATGCTTTGTTATCAAACCTGCAAAAGTTAAGTTTGTCTTTCTGAGATATGCACAGGGCTCAAAAGCCACAGGGTGGATGTGAACTGCCCACCTTTCACCTAGAGCATCACAGATCAGCAGGAGGAATAGAAGCTATTGAAAAGTTCAGTTAAAAACAGAAACTGGGGGTGTTTTAGTATTAAAGTCAGTAATGCAGTTGGGTGTGGTGGTGCACACCTTTGATCAGAAGGCAGAGGAAGGCATGTCTCTGAGTAGAAAGCCAGGCTGATTTAGATGGTGAATTCCAGATCAGGTAAGGCTACACAGTGAGACCCAGTCTCAAAAACAAAAACAAAAATCAACAAAAAATCAGTAATACTAGGAATGCCTTATAGGCTTCCTCAGTTTGAATATATAGGTTACAGAAAGAATAAGACTTTATTCTCCAAAGAAATGAGCCTGGTATGCTTTACAAATTTATAAACATTATCTTTCAATTACTTAAGTTTCGTTTTCTATTTAAGATGTACAATAATCAACACACCTGCCCCCCAGGCTCAGCGAGCATTATGAAGGAAGCGGTAAGGAGAGTGTAAAAGGTGTGCTATGGGATGCTTCGGTCTGGACATGACCCACCCTTTGTGCTCAAGAACTCACCCTATCTGTGGTTACCTGCACAAGCCCTGCCTAAGGCAAGCCTTGAGCAGCCAGCATTCCAGTCCAACCCAACTGGGCTCAGTAGGTCACACACTTAAAAGAGGAGAGGACATGCGGACATGATGGTGAGAGGAAGATCATTGAAGCTTATCTAGGGGAGAACATATGAAGTAGGAGATAGGTATTGAGATAGGAAATAAGATAATAAATTCAAAAGGCTAGTGGAAATGAAGCATTTTTTCCCCATACAGTTCTGCAGAAAGGGACACCGCATTGGGAAAAGACAAAACTACTGTCATGTTTATTTGGTATAGGACAGTGATTTAAAACGCCCTCCTTATCTCTTACAGGCCATGATTTGCTCCCCTCCCAAACTCCCCAACTCTTTAACTTAGGGCAAAACCCTCACCCAGTGAACAATTTGGAGCTTGAAACTGCTCTTTCTCTCTAGTTTTGGGCTCATTCATGAAGCAGATCACCAGTAACTTCGTAACTCTTGAGTTGTATGACAAACTAGGGTCAGCCCTGCTACGGGAGAGAAACCCTGAAAATTGAACTATCAATCTATTCCTTACAAGTATGGTCATGCTATGTTACATGCATGCATAAAACTGTCAAAAAAAAAAAAGAGAGAGAAAGAAAGAAAGAAAGGAAGAAAGAAAGAAAGAAAGAAAGAAAGAAAGAAAGAAAGAAAGAAAGAAAGAAAAAAGGAACTATTAAGTACTCCTATTGATGGTATAATCTTGATTTCAAAGTTCTACGTGCCATCAGACAATGAACTTATGCGAACCTGGCCCTTTGAAAGGACAGGTTTCATGCAGCATAGTTTGGCCTGGAGCTCATTCTGCAGCTGAGGTTGACTGCAAAGCTTTGCATCCCCAGATAACAGGAGCGAAACACCAGACCCAGATTCATACAACCTGCTTAAAAAACTATAATTTAAAAAAATAGAAAAGCTCCAGGAAGAAAATGGCCAAGTAACAACATAAACACATTTTAAAACATTCCAGAAGAGGCTATAAAAACAGGACATTAACTGTGATTTTCCAGTTACTGGCATTTCAGCAACACAATGTGAATATTTTAAAATGAACAGAATTTTAATTTACAAATTTTCCATCCAAATGGTTCCACGTATGCCTTATGTAGAAAGAGCAAGTTCCTGGAACAGGGCCCTCTCTGTTGCTGTGTGAATACAGAGGGGAAATCACCCTGGATGGAGTACAAATAACATCCACTGGAGAAAACAGCAGTCTGCTCCCTACACCACAAAGGCTGGGGACCGATAGCTTCGGGGGGAATGCAACTTAAATTATATCGCAGAGAGAGGAAGCAGCTGTGATACTAAATCACCACCAGAGAAGCAGCAGTCTCAATGTCCCTATGATAGAGGCTGCTACAGTACTGAGGACAGGGGAGAGGAAGCATGATGGTAAGCCTCGGCCTTGACAGTGCTGCCCTGCCAGATCAATACAGACCTGCTATGAATCAACAAGTGCAGGCTTTGGAAGGCTTTCTTTCACTTCTTCTTTCTAGTGAGAGATGACTTCTCAAATGTTTACCACCAAGAAGTCATTACACAAAAGTAAAGCGAGGCAAAATCCCCAGTCTCACGGTTGCTGTTCTGTGAAGTCTCAGGATTATGCATAGTGTGTGCAGTCACTGCCACAATCTCAGCTTGTGCACGAATATGATGGGGAAGCTGGGGCTGCAATCACCAAAACTGGACTTGCACAACTAATTGGCCACACTTACAGACAGCAGTGCTGCTTGAACAGCTCAATTCCTTCAGGACTTTACGTACTCATGTCTTTTATTTGCCCTTGCCTAGTGTGTGCCCCAGAATTGATAGAGATCTACCTTGAAGCTGTCTTCTAAGATTTCCAATCATGCAGGCACTATTGGGGACAGTGGCAAATGCATAGGGAGTTCTCTGTTCACTTCTTGGGAAGAAGCAGGGTTGGCAACAGAGGCTGCATTGCCAGCCTCAAAGAGACAACTCTAGCTGCACTGGAACTTCAACTTCGAAAAATAAGCACATAAAACAAAAAAGAGAAGTGTGAACAACTAAGATAAGAGAAACAAAGGCATAACTAGCAACTCCCGTGCCTGTAAAAATAAATATGAACAAAACAATAAAATGGCAGGAGACACAAACTAGCACTATTTTCCAAAAAGAGGTTGCACTTTTTCCTAACCTGTTCTGTCCCCCGAGTTCCACTCACTTGCCCCAAACTGTTCTAGCTACCTGACATTCGAAAATGCACCAGGTTCTTTGGAGGTCATAACAACCATGAAGAATGCTGATTACAGTAAGCACTCTGATACTAGGAAGGGATGATAAGCTTTTTGCAGGAGAATCCCCTCTGCAAAAGTTTGAGAGCCAGAACATCTTCCCTCAACTAGAACTCACAAGGCTACACTTCAAGCACCAACTACCTCTCCCCAAGTTGAGAATCATACCAAAAGCTGGGTCCCACTCTGCTCCACAGTGTAACCTGAGGTGACAAAGGGTAAAAAATACAGATGACACAAAGGATTAATAAAAGAAAGATAACATCCTCAATAAAATACTTTTACAAAAAAGAAATTCCAATTGGAAAAAAGATCAAATTTTGCCAAATAAAATTCCAAAAGACTTGGCTTTTCTGTATGAGTGTCACTGTAAAAAAAAGATAAAATATAGACACAGATCAATTTCCTCTGCTTAAAAAGCGAGAGTCTCTAAAAGATCTTGCTTTACTATTTGGGCAAATCCCTGCCACCATAAGCTATTTCAATTATTGTACTGTTGAAAAAACTGAAAACAAGGACTGAAGAAATATGACTGCAGAAACTGGAGAGATGGCTTGGTGGTAACAGCACTTGCTTCACAGCCCTTAAGGTTGGGGTTCAGATCCCTGCATCCACATAACAGGCCAGCATGCCAAACACACTATAATCGAAGTTCTGGAGGAGTGGAGGCAGGAGCATTTCCAGGACTTGCTGGCTTTTAACCTGGACCAGAATACATAGTTCCCAGGTCCAATGAGATACTCTGTCCAAAGAAAGGAGGGATGGAAAGGGGTAAAGGAAGACATTGACCCCCTAGTCTCTCCTCCACATATATGTGCACACCAAACAGGCATGTG